TATACTATATTACTTATTAATTAGGACAATTACAACATATTCTACAAAACTATTACGATGACATTTCGACCAGAAGTCTTAATCAATCTGCTGAAAAAAAAGTTTGACACATTCAGCCAATTAATTTATTGTTCGAATTTTTAAAATTTCCTGATATATTCTAATTGATATAAAACAAGATATCATTATTTTTCCCTTAAAACTTTTTAGGTCTATTAAAATTGCAACAACTTATAAGCAAACTTTCATGATTGTGATTACTGTAGAGAATTTGGTTGGGTTGTTATTGTCGAACGTAGATTACTATGCATAATTGATACTAAGATTAACAGAACCAGTTTTATCATAATCATTTCCTTAATGATAAATTAAATCCCAATGGCTTATGAGAAACGGAAATATATCATTGAAGGCTGATATGCCTTTAAATTTCACACATTACTTTGAAAATACCATTTATCATGAAATATTTTCCACCATTCTCAATTTATTATCAACGGAAATCCTTCTTGAGTTGTAATTTTCTGCCGAAACTTGATACTGGAATCAATCTCTTTCCTGAAAATCCCCATTTTCATTCAAGAATTAAAATCATTCTTCTAAAATTCCATCGTTAAATGTCATCTTCTCGTTCAGAAAATTTCTCTTCCATTCAAAGCGCAAGGGAAATGAGAGAAATTGATAATTATGATAAATTTATTATTATCAATTTGCAATAATTGATAAATAAAATATTTCAATTTTAATCATTCATATTCTATTTTGCATGATTTCATCATAATTGAGGTCAAATTTTCTGGGAAGATTTTATCTACACAAAGTAAAACGGTAGTACCAACCGATTGGTTGCAGATTAAGACTAATTGATGATTTTTCTGCACTATCGAATGGTTTAATTGGGATTTCAGAAAGCAACGACGTGAACGAACAACATTTACACGAATACAATTGGAAGTTCTGGAGAATTATTTTTCCAAAACTCGCTATCCGGATATATTTATTCGTGAGGAAATTTCATTGAAAATTCAATTACCCGAATCACGCGTTCAAGTAAGTTCAAAGTTCAAATTTAAATTCAAAACTTAAGCCGGAATCTTTCAATTTTTCCTTCTTTCGACGTTTAATGTTGTTCAGCTTTCAAGTTTTATTTAGTGATCATTAACTTTTACTTGTCATTTGATTAATTAATTACTAATAGATTGAGTGACTCAAGTAACTATTTCTTACATATGATTAATTGACTAATTTCACACAAAATTTCAGGTATGGTTTAAAAATCGACGTGCTAAAGCTCGACAACAAAAGAAAGCAACAAAACATGAAGTTGCATTACATGTCGTTCCGGCATGCAGTAATGATGGTAGCTCATCCAGTAAAACCACTTCCGGCGATATTCGGAATACCAATGCTTGTAATGTTGAGGTTTGATGAAATTTTTATCTTATTTCGAATATTTTACATTCAAATAACACTCGGAAAAAAAAAAAGTGTCATCTTTTTATTCAGTAAAAAAATTTAGATAAAAACGGAAAGAAATGAAACAGGCGGATCAGAACAAAGGACGCCACCAATAGAGATTGATTCATCCAAATTAACCGTTTTACCACCACCGTATTTTGGTACCATATCACCATCAACAGCTTACACATCTCAAGCAACATTCCCACAAGGATATGGTAAGTTTTTTATTCATTTTCTTTAATTTCAACAAAATTAGCATAATTTATGTAGCATTACTGGCAATCCCAAAAAAAAAAGCGCAAATTATTTTTAGAGAACAGGTGAAATGGTACTGGAAATGATTGGCATAATTTGATAACCTGTTGAAGACTTTTTGCGCCTTATTGAACTATAGATATTCGTTCTTTTTTTTTTTTTTTGCTAGTCACTTTTAATTATTTTTTTTTCTACGAAATATTGAAAAACAGAAGGAAAAGCTCGATTATACGTCAGCGTCAGTAGTTGTAGGCTACGGTGGTTATCAAGCGGCTGTTCCAACACCAATGGAATATTTCCAATATCCGACAAGTGCTGCAACATATGCTGCAGCTACCGATCCATGGAAATTCATGAACCAGTGATTATAATAATGATTATTTATAATAATATTTTTTTTCATTTGTGTTCTTTATAATGATACGCAAAAATTGTAAAGAGCGACTACTGTAATTTTCACATAGCACTTTTTTCGCCTTTTCATACGGTAACTTATAATTTAACAAGAATGCAAATGTCATAACGGTATGGTCTGATAAGCTAGCCATTTATCAGATAAGACAAAATCTTTGCACTTAATGATTGGCATTGAAAGTAATTCGGTATGTCTTTGATTGGTCAAAAGGAATGGTCGGTTATAGGAATCAAATTGTAGTGAGTCATATCAAACTATTCTTGAATATAAATTAATTACTATTAATTGGTTTTATTGATATCTGTGATCAATAGATTGATTGTTAGATCATGCAATTGTATCATTCCGTGTTTATTGTACCTTTTTTTTTGTTTATGTAAATTTTAAAAATAATGTAATCATTAATTTCTTTTTTTTTTAAAAAACAAAACAAAACTCTTACTATAGGCAATATAAATTAAATTTAATTATTACTATCTCTTTCTTTTCATATACTTCTATATAAGTTAGGATTAGAGCTTTTTCCTTTTATTTTAATTTGTCAAATTTCGATTAATTAAATTAAATTGTAAATTTTTCTTTACGAATATTTGTAATCTTTTCTGTGATAATTAAAGTCTAATCATGATAGAATAATATATTCTCTTTTAAAACTTATAAAGTAATTCTATTTATAAGTGAAATTATCAATACAGTCCATTCAACAATGGGTAATAGTTATGTAATAATGGGTAAAATAAATGTAACACTTTGAAATTTTACTTCCAATTTTAAAAATCTTTGAAAATTTGAGGTAATATTTTTGGTGAATAAAAATTTATTTTTTTTTTTTGAGGTGAATAAAAATTCATTTTTTTATAATTTTTCAATTATAAAAAAAGTACAACAAAAATAGTTATACATTTTCTTTTCTTTTTTTTTTTCATAATAAAAAGTTTGAAAGGTTTGAAAAAAGAATTTATTAGTCTAAGTAATTAGCAGAATTAATGAATAATTCTTGAAATTCATATTTTTGAGAAATAATTCCTTTCTTTTTCCTTGCAATTTAGATAATTTTTTTTTTTATTCAACTTTTGTAATAGCATTTTTTTAAAGAAAAAAATACTTTACTTTTTTTTTCCAAATGCTATCTCTCAATTCGGATGCATTATAAATACTAATGAACCATTTCCATTGTCATAGATAATTTGTCTCTTATCGTACAGTTGTGATAAATTTTATTTTCTAATTTTTATTGAAAAAAGAAAAATTTCATTTTTTTATTTCTTATTTCTCACAATAACATTAACATTATTCAATGATTGATTAAAACAAAAAACAACCAAATTTTGCAACATAGAATGTTACTCTCAAAAAAAAAAAAAAAAGGAAAAGTAAGTAATTAATATTTTTATTTAAAAATGTTAAATAAACTTATCATTATCATCTAAAATTTATTGTCACCATTTAAAAAGAAAAAAATACAGTAATCATTTTTATTCGATCAAAAAATTTTAAAGGATAAAAT